TGCCAGCCCAGTGAATCCACCACAGCAATAGGCAGCTCTAATTTGGCACCTACAAAGCTGGGGGTTGCTTTCATGTGGAGTCACCTATCCTACAGAAGCTGCAGAGACCTGTGACAGAAACACCAAGATGAGTACAGAAGTATCTTGAGGCAGGAACACTAGAAGGGCAGTTAAATACAGCACCTAGATTAGCAGGTCATCAAAATCCCAGCACATCTACGTGCTTTTCTAGGGATGACCATGTTTGGGGAAGAAGGGCAGTGACTAACACCTAAGGAGGCACAGGAGGAGGATGCAAGTCCCTGTCAGCTTCTGGAGGGTAGAGAAAGGCACATCCACAGTCTGAGATGGACAGAGAGAAGGCCATCAGGCATCAATAACCAGCATCACTAGTCCTTTTGCTCAGGGCAACAAGTGTAGACGTGACCACTCGAGTCCATGCCTCTCCAAGGTTTGATGCTGAGCATCAAGATCCCTCAGACACTTCTGCAAGTGGGAAGGTCAGCAAGATAAGTTTTGAAAGGAAATCACCATCCTTTGTGATTCAGCCCCTGGTTTAGCCTCACTGCCTTGGTGCTGTGCCGTTGCAGGAGCCTTTCCTGCATCACGTCCCAGAGGGGTGGGTGTGAATCAGAGGGCATCCATAGAGGCACAGTCCTGATGAACCACATTGAGAGGGGACACTGTTGTAAAGCATCCACAGGGACAAGCATTAGCTCTAAGCAAAAAAAAAAAACCCATGCTGTCCGCAGTGATAGCAGAAAGTTTCAGTTTTAAATAGTCTTTAGTCTTAGATACTCTCAGTTTTGACACAACAGAAAATGCAGCCACCTCCATTTCCCACCCTCCTGCAGAGAGGATGAATGCTGGAGGCACATGTCAACGGGAGCAGAGGTACCATACCTTGTATTTTGAAGATGACATCAGCTAGGACAGGTGTATTAAAGAACAGCCTGAGAGAAGTATTATACAGCCTTTTTATCTGGTGAGACCGGCAGTCCTTTACAGTGTTTAGCTGCAAAACAAATTATTAATAAACCACCTTCATGTGTAGCTGCCCACAGAATAAAAGATTACAAGACATCATCATAAACAACGACCTTTTGCTTCCTTCATGTTATTTTGCTGATGTTACTCAGCCGTGCCTCTCCCACATGCAATCCTCTGCAATCATCTTTGTCATTTATTTTCCTATTTTCCACAGTGCAGCAGCTCCAAGGCATCTCTGTCTCCTACAGTTACATCCCAGCTCTCACCTGGGTACTTTCTGATCTGAGACAAAACTCCCCAATCCAGCACCTCTGGGCATGTTAAACTACATCACAAATTGTCTGGACTCCAAACTTTTTTCCTATTTGGACCCAAGGCTGGAGTAGCACAAGATTGGAGGACAGATGGCACATAAATTCACTCCCACAGTGCGATGCCACGTTTGGATGCAAGGCAGCCAAAAGTTGTGTATTTCTTGATATTGTTCTGATTTTGCCTCCACAGAGGCAGAGGGAGCTCACAGGCTGAAGCAAAGACTTCTCCCACAATAATCTGGCCATGCTAGCATCAAGAACCACCAAAATTCAGTACTCCCAGTTAGTTTTTGCAGTTCTGTTTTTCTTACTTTAGAAATGGAATCTAAAGCTATCAAAGGGAACAACATCAAAATCCTGTTGTAGATGGTGATAAATTAAATTCAGATGAGGTTGAACTTACAGTTGAAATCTGATCTAATCTATTAATTCTTTTTTTTTAATTTTATCAAGAAAAAACCACAATTAATTTCTAAGCTTTTAAAGGAAAACTTCTGAATGTGAAGGAAAAGTATCCTGAAGGCATAACACAGCCCCAAACAAAACAACAAGAACCCAGTTTTATGATCTTAAAAGTTTTCAGGAATTTCTAAACCCAACCCTATGAATGTCTTAGCTGTGGACACTTAGGGCTGGCAAGCCTACAACTGAGCTATCAGAAGCTTAAAACAGCTATGGAATTTTTTGATCTTTATCTTATGTTATCTCAAGATGGTCTGAGATAATTTCCCATTCGAATTGACTTAAATACTTTGTGCAAGGTCTATAGTATCAGGGAATGTATAAGATCTATCAGCAAATGGCTGTTAAAAATATTTCTATATCATACGATATAGAATTAATAACATATAATGTATGACATAATGAAATTATAACATATCTATAGGTTATTTTATTAACACTACAATAACATGACATAAATTGCATTTTACTGTGACGTCATCTTCTGAATTAAATGTACTGAGCTATAGACAGATTTACACACCACAACACTTATAAGAGGAAGATTCTGCTGCAGAAACATAACTTCTGGCACATATTCAGGAAAGCAAAGCTTTTCTGGGCAGCCTCTATTTCATGAGAATTAGGAACACATAATCATATTGTTAAACAATGTGCAAAGCTGTGAATATGAGGACTCCTTTCAGGATACCTACTTGTGTGCTTTCTGTGCAGGTATTTCTGCACATTACACCAGCATCTCTGTGTTTCTATTTTCCACGTGCCTGTGAACAACCCACTGATAAATTAACACAAGCTGTGGAACCCAAAGCGAGTTTCAAAAGAGGAAAGTTTCAAGGAAACCTTGTCTACCAAACAATTTCCCAAGAGCTTAAGTAACTAAGACTAACAGTTACCCCAAGACAGTTAGTTGTACCTTCCCTGGAGTTTTCAGGATACATTTCACCTTCTCAAGTACATGTTCAGTTTTTTCTGGATCCTTCAACTTCTTTTTTATATCCTCTTCTAGTCGTTCCCACTGGAAAGCACCTGTCACAGACCCAGGTAAAGCTGGATTATAAATCAAGAAGGCACAGCTCTTAGCAGTCAGAAAAAAGGTGGTGTCGATGCCAAACTGATCCTGCAGAAATTATATTTTTCACATATAAATCAGCCCGATCTTTGTGCTTAGGAAGGGGAAGATGCAATTATTGCACACTAAAACTTCCACGGTGCTTTTACAACGACGTGATCAAGTACAGATAGATTAGGGTATCTCCCTGGCTTTCAAAATAATTTTCTGTATTCCTCACAGCTCCATGTGTAGTGATCTACATATTGCAGGCAGACATTCAGAAAAAAATCCTGGGTGTTTCAATATTTATGGGAGTTCTTCAGCTGCTGCCTAGAGTGCTGGTTGCATTGCTTTGCAGGTGTCTGAACCAGAAAAGCTTCACTCAGAGTTATATTCTGAATACTGGTAGGCAAAAACAGCACAAAGTTTGCAGTGGTTTTTGGGTTGTTTTTTTTTTCTTGTTTTCAGAGTCAAAGCCAAGATATTCTCTTAGGTCTCTCAATAGCTTTCTTGGAACAACTAGAAGTGTTGGCCAGCGTTAAAACAAACATAGCTTATCCTTATACAGTTTGGTGGAGTATGTTTCAAAGATATTGTGGGGCTTTTTGATAACTTTCAGTTCTGAACCCCAGGGTCATGCAGCAAGGAAGGGTCAGAAACAGATAAAGCTCGGGGTGAAGCACAGGTCAGCTGCAGAAAAGGCTGAAGAAAGGGCTGAAACAGCACATGCAATGTATGCCTTTGCTATGATATATATTTACATGGTATCTTTAGCTCCACCAGCTCCTACGTACGCCATATGGGTGGTAAATGTTTATAATTTCATGGGAGTAATAAAGTCACAGCCCTGAAAGGCTGGAAGTGAAGACACGCTTTCATGATCTGATCTCTTCCCAGCCTGTGCCTCCAGTGTCTTCAAAAGCCTTTGTACCTCCCAGAGGTACCAAAGACTGAGATGGCTTTGGAGATGCCATCTTTTGGAGCTGTGGCTGACAGAAGAGTTTCATCTACAGCTCTACAAACTTTCCCACCTTTGGTCAACATAAGAAAACATAAAACTAATACACAGAAGGCAGCAGATGGACTTATCTTTCCCCTACTGAAATTCCAGGTTTAACCCCCTATTCATACCACCAATAAATAAATAAATAAATAAAATCTATCCATTCACACTAAAAAACTTCTGTGTATGTTTGACGCTGGTTTGGAAAGAACTGAAAGGGACATTTTCAATGTTCAAACTCTAACTGAAAGCTGAAAGAATGACCCTTGGGTCTTTACAAGCCAGTGTTCGTGTCTCAGCTCCTAAGGCAGAAATCCTTTTCATGTGTCAGATATCAGTCTTCAGGGACTGACTAAGTTTCTTTATGGATGCAGCTCTAACAAAACAATTATTTGGGGCTTTTTTATATATATAATTACATTTAAAATCAGAATACACCATTAAAAACCCTGCTAATTCTTTCAACAAATATAAAATATATATTCTTATGTACTGATGGCTTGCAAGATATTTTATAAACAGGCATCAGGTACTTCCAAAAACAAACAAAAAAAATCTTTCACTTGAGGATTCCTAAGCAACATTTAAAAAAATAGAAAAATATCAGTGCTATTTTAATAGACAGCTGGGATTAGGCAGGTGAGGCCACTACCTGTACTGAATCAGTAGCAAAGCACATGCAGCAAGTCAGAGCCCTCTGCACTTCAATCAGTTATTAGTGTTTTTTCTTCAGTAGGACCATATCCAGAAGAGAAAACACTTGAGTTTTCTTAAGCAAACCTGTGTTCTCATCACTATGTTTAGGACATACAATCATTTTAAATATTTTAAAAGCCTGGGATCTAAAACTGTCTCAAACTCCAGATTTTAATATTACTGCTGTTTGTTTATGCAGTTTATTCAGTAAAATGTTGCTCTTCATTTACGTTCATTAGATCTGGAATGACAGCTCATTTAATTTTTATTAAATTAATAAAAGTCTTGCATATAGATGTTGTTCATCATAATCACAAGGGATAAAATTGACGTAGCAACATGGCAGAACACGATCTACCAACAGCAAAGGCGTGTCCCTTAGGGTCACGCACGAAATCCTTCGTGAGACATCAGCTCTAAGCGATGTCAGTAGCTGTGGTGGGGTTGGTGGTGGGTACCTGAGTAGATGAAGCGGAGGATGTCTGGGAGGCAAGAGCAGAAGGTGGAGTCCTTCACCACCACCCTCAGTGGTGGGATGCAGGGTGGGACACCGCAGGGATCCAGGGGGAAGGCAGCCCCCGTCTCCACCGCAAAGAGGCTCTGGGCCATGCGCACAATGGAGGCGTCGTGGATGTCGTCCGGACTCTTCACCTCAAAGAGCAGCATGAAGAGGTGACTGACGGAGCAGAGGATGACCTTGTGAGCTTCCACCACCGTGCTGAAGTCTTCAGGGTAGAAGGCGACGTCGGCGCACTGGCAGCAGCAGAGCAGGTTGTGCAGGTCGGCGTCGTAGTGAGAGGCTTCGCTCTTTAAGATCGGCATTTTTTCTGCGAAAGATAACGAGTTGGGCTGTAGAATTGAAGCAAGTATTAACCGCAGGACAACTCTATTCCCAGAGACCTGATCAAACGAAGGACAATTTTTGAAGGGGTGGGGAAAAAAAAAAATAAAAATTAAATAAGAAAATTTCTCATTTGAATATGTTTAGTAAAATATACTAAAAATGGAAATGCTTAGTGTAGTAAAATAGGAAATACGAGAAATGCTTAATTTAGTAAAAAGTGTCCACCCTTTTATGGTACCTCTTTAGGCACTTATGTTTGAAAGAAACCTTGCCTGTGAATCCCAAACTGCTAGGATCCAAGCAAATTTCTAGTACACGTGAGAAGAGACAGCTACATACTTAGAGGAAAGTGCTTGTCATTAATTATTTCACTGAATAAGTGCATCAGATGCACAGAAGACACATGCAGGGGCACACACCTCTCCCTTGTTTAATTTACAGCAAATAACAATATTACTTGATGATACTGTAGTATAATAAAGAATAATGTAATGACTTTCCTTTATAATTTGTCTGTAAAGCTCTCATTAATTCATCTTCGCATTATTTCATCAAGTGCACCAGAAAACCAGTCCTACTCTTTTTGTCTAAAATAAATTAGAAGTCCGTCACAATGTTACTTATTGCTCCACAATTCTCCCCAAATTAATTAAACCATGGGCTAAAAGATGATGCAACTAGAGCGACAGAACCAGAACAGCTGATGAGAGATAGCACAGCTCACAGTAACGATTACAAAATGTTAATTGCACAAAGAACATGGCACACATAACGGATGATACTAGAGACCAGACATCAGCGAGCACCTGGCTGTTCAAGCTGAGGTGGTTGAACTCGATGGCACTTCTGCATCTTTTTCCTTTTCTTCATTTTTTCAGATGACTTCTGATTCAAACTTTGGATCATAAAATATTCCAGCTAAAACATGAAATGTATTTTTTAAAAATCCTACTTATTTAAGAACAACCTAGACATCAAACTAAGGAGAATGAGAGGTTACTGGCACTATGAACAGTCATCCAGGAGAGTCCCAACACTCCTCTACCAGGAGAAGGCACCACATTTAGGTGGAATTAGTACAATTTAAAATGCTACTTATTCAAACGATGGTGGTTAATTCTCTTGTATTTAATCTTCCCAGAAATAACAGGCACAAAGATATTAATTTACCGGCTTTCACAGATACTAATTACAGAATTACAGAGAAGAATAAGGCTTGATGGATAATGATCAGGTACAAGTGATGGAAATAATAAAACCATACATAACTCTTCAGTTTGCAGCTAACCACCAGCACCATGCGAGGCTGTGGTGTCCTCTGAAAAAGTCACAACGTGATCTTTGTGGTCAAGGTTTATTTCAATGCCATAGACTACAAGTGTCACCACTGCAATAAAAATGTACCTGAGGGGAAATGATCCATTTTACAGGAACAAAGAGTCACAAAGGGGGGTTCAGTTCGATTTAATGCACGTCTTAAATGCTTTTATTACACAAGGTAGTCCGGTAGCACATACAGTGCTTTCTGAAAACTAGAAAAATACTCTGGCTGGACCAGATGTTGGTTGGATTCCTCATTTTTAATTGGGAATGAAGAGACCCAATAAAAACTGGCCAACTGTTGTGCCAGATACTCCAAGTTACTATCAAGTCCCATGGAAACACACTGTACTTAACACACCAGGGACAACAACAGCACAGACCATGTGAAATTACTGTGCCAAAAGTACTGCATTTTGTTGTTCAAGCATAAATGCCACTGGGAAAGTAACTAAAAGGTTCCAAAAAATATATATCAGTGTGAAATAACTTCATGGAGAAGACAATAAATCTGAAAGACTGTATTTAAAAGCTGTTCCATGGGCTTTCCTGGCATCATCAGGGTGGAAAAAGAACAAGCTCATGAGAGGTGGGACATTTGAACCAGCTTCTCAGCTCCTGCCTTGTTCAGCTTGGCTGCGACTGACCCCCAGGCTCTGCTCAGGATTGCAAACTGCCTCACGACTGTGAACTGAGCAACCATAAGAATATGGTAAAAAATCAGGTAATTCAACAATCACACCTGTCTCACTTCACAAGTAGAACAGCTGTGAGAGCTTAAACAGTTAAAATCCAAAAATCTTGGAATATTATGGAATAAATCAGCTTGGAAGGGACCTGTGGAGGTCACTGACTCCTCAAAACAGGGCTCATCTTTAAAGTGGGGTGGGGTTGTTGAATGCCTCATCCAACCGGGTTTTGATTATCCCACCTCAGTAAGATAAAAGGACAGGGATAGAGGGAGGAAAATCCTTGCATGTATACTGTGACTTCCCTAAAACTTCCTAGAAGTTAGTTAAAAGTGGAGCAACCTCAGTACCACCTATCATAGAGTCATAGGATGATTTGGGTTGGAAGGAACCTTAAAGCTCATCCAGTCCCAACCCCCCTGCCAGCAGCAGGGACACCTTCCACTAGACCAGGTTGCTCAAAGCCTCATCCAACCTGACCTTCAACACTTCCAGGGAGGAGCAGCCACAGCTTCTCTGGCCAACCTGGGACACTGTCTCACCACCCTCACAGTGAAGAACTTCTTCCTCACATCTCAGCTCCATCTCACATTGGTGAGAAGGGCTCATGATGTGCTTCCTCCCGCTCTCCGAAGCCCTGACGTTGGTCACACACCTCTTGCATGTGCTGCCCTGCTTTCAACCCAGGGGTTTCTCACTCACCACTCCTCCAAAGTACTTCTGCACGTAGAAGTCATTCAGAGTGTGCAATTCAAGGTAAGTGGCTCCCAGTTCCTTGGCAAGCTGAACTCCTTCGGAGGTGGTCACACAGCTCCTCCTGTCTGAAGTGCACAGAGGGCAGGTGCAAGGCACTCCTGGGGTAAAAAATGACACACAAAAAAGCCATTTTTGTCAAATAATCTAGAATATTTAGCTACCTAAATAATTGTAAAAATTAATTATTTAGAAAAGAACAAAAAGGGAAATGGAAACATAGTCATTTTATAATACGAAATTTGTAATTACTGAACAAAAAAACCCCTACTTCTTATTAATCACTTCCAAATACCAGCTGCTACACATAACTCAGCTTAGTTTTCATTCACATGAGTTTACATCCAGTTTTGCTGATGTGGAAAAGTCAAGCAGGACTTCCAGGAGTCAGGTTTGTCTTAGGGCCTTGGTAGCCTTATATGCACAAGTTGTTGTACTAACCTGCAGCTGTTGCCATTCATTAATGTCGCCCTTAAGATTATTTCATTATTGTGGCCTATTAATTAAACTTTTAATTATTCCTGCCTGCAGGATGCATGCACAGTAACAGAAAGGGAAAATTTCCACTGCAGTCCTGGCTGCTATAGGCATGTAGACACTGTGGAATACAATTTCATTACATGTATTTTACATAAGATTTTTTTCAGCCACAATAGGTATTTTTGAAGATTATGCCAGTTAACCAACAAAATCTGTTAGCCACCCTGGCTCAACTTTGCTTAATGCTGGTTAAGAACTTGCTGGCTATGGGTGTGCTTTGAAATGTGCCATGCATGCCCTACACTAATTTCCTCTGCTCAGACCTATGGATAACATGCAGTAACACAGCTTTTTTTTATATATAATTTATTTTGGCAGCACCGTTTGCTACTACAGAGGATTAAGATCTTAGTAATTTGTATGAGCAAACTGCTGTGTTCACAAATACCTCCCAGAAACAAAAGGTCTCTGTGTGTGCAGAGCAGTCTGCTCCAGCAGGTCCCAAAGCAAAACCCAGGCTGGAGAAGGTGACTTCTCCCACAGTCACAATTTTTTAGGGAGGAAGACAGAAAAAAAAAGAAGAGGAAAAGAAAAATGCCAGTAGTGGTATGCTGTGCTTAAATAAAAAGTGTAAGAAAAAGCATTGGGAAGACAAACATTAGTTTAGCCTTTAGAATGGCAGATTTATCACCCCTGTGTAAATCAGAGCATAAAAACATTTGATCGCTATCAGTGAATTACTAAAGGGAAGAAAATAAAGATTTGATTGTTATAGAGTTCTTTAACAGTCCTTTCTCAGTCACTGAGCAAAAAGATAGATAAGTAGACCCTGTCAAAATTGAGCATTACACCCACAGAAGACACACTTCAAATAGCTTAATATTTTTTTGTACATGGTAAAAGAAACATCTACATTTACATCCATCGCATCCCTTACTCACAGCAGGAGGGATGCTCAGAAACACTTGTTTTAGTGAAACTCAAAGTAAAAGACAACCCACAGACTCATGTCTTGCATTCAATGCTATTGGAAAAAAAAAAAAATCAGGCCCCGTGACTAAAAAGATCACATGAAAATCAACAAAAGCACAATGCAGAGCACATTTGGAAATACAGAATAAAGTTGGTATGTTTGTTCTACCACTACCTGTGGTGCTCTTTCTGAATTTTACTTCCCTGGTGTAAATGGACAGGAGTTACTAACATCTACCCAAACCATGAACGTGTCCTCACCAGCATTGCCCTCCTCAGCTGCTGGATATGTAAATCCACTTGGTCCTCCCATGGTTGTGTGACTTTGTCTTTCATATTGATTAGACAACAGCAACTTTGTGCTACCTAAATATTCAGTATAAAATTGATTTGCATCATTCTCATAGCGCACTACTGATCAGCCTGGACAGGGCACTGTGTGCACACAAAACCTATAGAGTAGCTATACCATAGCTATACCATAGCTGTTCTGCCGTGACAGGTCACCTCTGTTGATGTGGCACTTTGTGGTACCCAAAGGGCTGGTGTGTCTGTTAATTTGATGATAAGAAAGATGGGGAGGGGCTTTGGCCAAGGGCAGGGAGTGACAGAACAAGGGGTGATGGCTTGAAAGTGGCAGAGGGGAGATGGAGCTGAGATGTGAGGAAGAAATTCTTTGGTGTGAGGGTGGTGAGACAGTGTCCCAGGTTGGCCAGAGAAGCTGTGGCTGCTCCTCCCTGGAAGTGTTGAAGGCCAGGTTGGATGAGGCTTTGAGCAACCTGGTCTAGTGGAAGGTGTCCCTGCTGCTGGCAGGGGGGTTGGAACTGGGTGAGCTTTCAGGTCCCTTCCAACCCAAACCAGTCTGGGATTGATTCTGTGATTCTATGATCCTAGAGAACTTCCAGACTTCTCCCACCCCTCTCCAGTGGCTGCAAGCAGATGGCCATAGTTTCAACCTCCTACACTACAGGTATTTCATACCTGAGACATGACCAGAGAGAACTCATAACCACAGCATTCATCTCATATACTCAAATGGACGCTGCTTAATCCAAAGCACTTGATTTAATCTGACGACTCCACAAGAAGAGTCATTGCAGAGGTCAAAGCAGGATAGGATGCGTTTCATCACCTGTGTTAATTAAGCATAATGTTCTTGCCAATACACCAGCCTATGGAGCCATAATACGTGCACATATTACTGTCATCCTGACAGACTAATTGTTTCTGTTAGCGACATGGAAAAACACTCAGCTGCTACTGAAATTACAGCCTATCTGACTTCCAAGTGAGATTTTAACTATTACTACGCATGACTGGATACATACCGTTTTTTCTTGCACCAATAGCAGAAATAATGACTGGAATTGAGCTGTGGTTTAATGCTCTTTTAATCATTGGGATATAACTGTCCTTTAGTTCTTGAAATGAAGTCTTGTCATTGACAGAGTATTTAATCACAATAATATCAGCTCCTCCAATGAGACTGCGAGAGGTGTACCAGTCACTGTCAAATATATCCTAAACAGAAAAAATACTGATCAGGGATTTCCTGTCTGTAAAGGAGAAGGTGAACTAGTCAACATTCTTAATGCAAAACCTTACAAAAGTATTTTCAACTGACTACTTAATCTTTATTTGAAGACGTGCAACAAAAAGCAGAATTCATGCTTTGTCATTTCCTTGTTTGGAGAACAAGCTGTTCATTATAATAAACAATAAATATCTTTTATTAATTCAGGAATTCTTCAGGAAGAAAAAACAGGGTTTATCTAGGAAGACTCTTTCCAGGAAGAAACTTTACTGGGTTTACTTTAAAATGCTTTTATTAAGCAAATAAAAGCAGCTTCAGTGGTAGAGGTTTGCAGCAATTAATAAAAAAACATTATTCATTGCAACATTTTAGGGAGAGGGTTACACAGAACTGTGCTATTTACTTGTGAACCTTCAAACACAAGTTTTATCAGTTGGGTGTGATTTTTATCTGTTTCCAAATAGCTTCCATGTAGTAACAAGCATTAACATCTTTAGGATAAGGACTTTAATCACATTACCAAATTTTCTTTTTCAATTTATCATTCAATTTGTCATTGTTGTGCTATAAGTGTAAGACTTGTACTTTAAAATTATTTCCATTGCTTTACAAATGTGCTGTACCCACATGCAATATACATTTGTATATTATCTATCTATGTTATCTATCGGTCATGAGAACAATAATTTCACAATTTCTGCTTTACCTAAACATAGCTCATAAATACCAGTGAAAGTTATAGCTTCTGTAGCAAGGTGAGGGTTGGTCTCTTCTCCCATGTAACAAGCAATAGGTTGAGAGGAAACAGCCTCAAATTGCACCAGGGGATATTGGATATTAGGAAAACAATCTTCACCAAAAAGGCTGTCATGCACTGGAACAGGCTGCCCAGGGAAGTGGTGGAGTCCCCATCTCTGGAGGTATTTAAAAGACGTATAGATGTGGTGTTGAGGGACATGGTTTAGTGGTGGACTTGTCAGTGTAAGGTTAGAGTCAATGATCTTAAAAGTCTTTTTCAATCAAATTGTTTCTATGATTCAATTGAAAACTCTTGGCAGAAATCTGGAATTGATTCAGAGAACTGTGAATCTATTCCAGACCCCACCTGAAGTACTGTGTCCAGTGCTGGGGCCACCAACACAAGGACATGGACATACTGGAGCCAGTGCAGAGGAGGTCACCAGGATGATGCGAGGGCTGGAGCAGCTCTGCTGTGAGGACAGGCTGAGAGAGTTGGGGCTGTTCAGCCTGGAGAAGAGAAGGCTCCAGGGAGACCTTCTGGTGGCCTCCCAGTACCTGAAGGGGCTCCAGGAAGCTGGGGCAGGACTTTTCATAAGGCAGGGAGTGACAGAACAAGGGGTGATGGGTTTAAGCTGAAAGAGGGGAGGTTTAGATTAGATATTAGGAAGAAATTCTTTGCTGTGAGGGTGGTGAGACACTGTCCCAGGTTGGCCAGAGAAGCTGTGGCTGCTCCTCCCTGGAAGTGTTGAAGGCCAGGTTGGATGAGGCTTTGAGCAACCTGGTCTAGTGGAAGGTGTCCCTGCCCATGGCAAGGTGTTGGACTAGGTGGTCTTCAAATATCCCTTCCAACCCAAAGCAGCCTGTGATTCTGTAATTCTACAACAGTCCTCTACATCAGGAGGCAAAGCTAAAAGAACTCGGGATCTTGATCAAAAGAAAACAGAAACTAGAAATGATGAAATAAAGATGATGTGGAATAGAGGAGTAAATGAGCACATCAGAAGTGACAAAAGGGCAGGATCCAAAGTCTGGGTTGGAGAGGGTCAGTGTGATTTTTGAAGAACAGGTCACAGAAATAAGAGCATTACAGATGGGAACCAGAGAAATATATAATAGATTATTAATATCAACAAGTGGCTTGCATGGTCAGTATAATTATTTTTGATCACTTCCAAAGAGCCACTGTTTCAAGCCTGTGGTGAGGTCACTGCAATGCTCCTAACTCTGAGAGGCTGCACAAACTTGATATAAGTGTTTCAGTTTGCAAATATTTGCCTAGACTGTTAGTGCACATCATACCCAATTCAGGTCCTGTCTTTACAAAGAATTAAGTCAGGAAATAAATTTAAAGTATAATAGGTATTATCAATATTTTTTTTTAATGGATGTTCTTGTTCTATAATAAGAAAACCATTGACAATTAACAAATTATCAAGGATAGCTATTTTATGATTCACCATGTTGGCAAGAGCCTTTAAGAGCACTGCTCTTGATATTTGTTTTTCGGTCAGCTCAGGTAGAGACTATTATAATCCCAGGCTAAGGAAAACCTCCACCAGCATTTAACAGAATCATTTAGACTGTGTTAAGGATATAAAGTTAACACATAAGCACAAGTTTAGCACCTGGAGAAATAAGACTATCAGCTCCAGTGCTTTGAGACAGACAACTAGATGGGCATTTGCAGAACCTGATCTCATAGCCAGGCAAAAATAGATATATTTTTTTTTCAAGGGACAGTTTTAATAGGTTTTAGCTGATTAATATCTCAATATTAGTGGAATTTTTAGTGGAGTTGTATATATTTAGCATGACAAAGGCTTAAGAGAAAAATATAATACAAAGTAAAAAGGAATATAGACAATTCAGTCGTTCTGTGCTGGCAGACAGAAAGCATGACTGTTCCTTTGCAGTTTCCTTCTAGCTGCCTGCCTTCAGGTTCAGCCCTGGTTTGTGCACTCCTGTCTCTGTGAGCTCAGTGATAACCATCAGTATCACCAGCAAGGTCTATAGCACAGGGACACAAATGCACAAGAACTCTGTCACAACTTTAAGCTTTAATAATAGAAAATGTTTATGGAAACTTCTTACAGAATGTAGCAGGTACTTTTAACATGTGGTAATACACGTTTGCATACAGTTTGTGGCTCCCTCCATTTTACAACAGAGTTAAAACTCCACTGCATTATGACACTATATCATGTTACAAAACAGAAAGATTTTGGGAAGATTTCTGTGGTTTTGGTGAATATAAACACAGGCATGCCCAAGGAAAGAACGAACTCTGACTCTTGTGCTTAGCTTCAGCATAAACCTAGTCCTGAACTACAGCAGAGGACAGGGCTCCTGGACACCAAAGTGCACCAAGCTGTGGCTCCATCCTGATGTCAGCCCCACCAGCAGGAGAGGACAGGACACCCAGTACCTGATACACATCCAGACACACTCTGCTCCAGCCCCAGCCCTTATCCCGGCTCTCCAAGGAGAGCATCATCCAGTAAAACACCAGCCTGGAAGACCCTCCATGGCCTAACCTCAACCAGGGGCAGCTCTAGTGCTCTGCTCATTGGTGGGAATCCCAGCAGAGTATGTTGAAGTAGACTTGTGTTTGTCTGGATGTCCATCCTCATACATACTGGTGCAGCCTCACTTCCAGTACTGGGGGCAGTTTGGGCACCACAGGAGAAAAAGGATCTAAAGCTGCTGGAGAGTGTCCAGAGGAGGGACACAACATTGGGGAAGGG